AATGGCCATTCTATAAGAGTACCTCACAGCTACCGCAATGAACAGACTTTTCTCAGATCTCACGTAAATAAAAAGCTCACCTAATGCATTCAAAATTATTTCATTCACAAAGTCAAATGAAAGAAAATTTTAAAACAACACCTACTGTATTTACAAGGGAGGACCCAAAAAACACAAAAATTTATTTATAAAAAATTAAGTATTTATTCTTACATCTTTAAACGTCAGTCATCTTCAACGTATTCTCCGTTTGATACAATACGCCTATAGAGATGCCTTCTTCCACTGCTCAAAACAGTTTTTGAATTTGCCAATTTTGATGCCTTTCCCCTCTGAGGACTTTTTTCATCCAGGGAAACGAAAGTTGCTTGGGACAAGATCGGGTGAATAGGGAGGGTAGGGCATGGGAGTCATGCTGGTTTTGGTCAAAAACCGCATGCAGGTGCACTTGTAAATCACCCATCATGAAATACGCAAACATGTTGAAAGAATCTCTAGAGGAATTCACTGAAGCCAAACGCAGCCTCTACGACACTAGCTGGTACACTGATGTCGATGGGTTCCTAGAACACCTACTAGCAAGGGAAGCCTATACTTTAAGGAGTCTACTGTCCAAAAATAATTCCAGGTTTTTTGGGGTCCCCCCCTCATATCTTTGTGGTAGCTTCAACACAAATATTATGGCTAAGTACTACATTTCCTTTTGCTATAACTCTACTAATATACCACATTAGATAATGTTTAAATATTACAAAGTGGTATATTTAAGACTTACATATCAATTTATTTTTAAATTATTTTCATCTATTCTAAACATGCTCTCCCTTATATGTGCTACCAAACACAGCAAGTAGCAACACTCCCTTCAGCTGATAGTTGGGACAAATTCTGAGAAACACTGCTGTGAACCACAACTAAATTGTTCCATTAAATGTGTGCTGGTCCTAATTAATAATTCTCTAAGTATTACCCTCAACTTCTGTAGCTAAGTAACATACTATAATTTTATAGTAATGTTATAGGCAATTAAAAAAACTCCAGTGACTAAAATCCCCAAAGCTAACCAAGGCATTTGTAAAACACAAGCAAATGTGATGATACTTAAAACACTGCACAAACATTCAAATACAACTATTCTCAAATATTTTTCCAAAAAGTCAATAACTTTGGAAAAAAAAAACCAGTTAAATGTACATCTTATATGATTTCCTCACTTAACATCAAAGAAGTAGAAGGTACAACGGATCTAAGACATGAATTCCTACAACTGCATGCCATAGTAATTATAATAAAAAGATGATATACATTAGGGTTTTTTTTTTATTACAGGTTAGAAAGAAAAGCTTATCAAAATGTTAATTAAATTGAAAAAATATTATCACATAGGATCTATATTACAAAGCTTAGACTGGTTTCAGTAACTGAGACCCTCAATAACTTGGTAAATTGTATTACTTGCATCTAGTCCTTCAGAGAATTCCTAAGATTTTCATTTTTCCCTTTCTTGAGAAATCGAGTAACCAAAGTCACAGCAGGTGGAGGCAGCTCACACAGGGAGGTTAGCTCAGGCGGCACAAGTGCTAATGTACAAAGAACAGTCCCTAATCCTCAGGAATTCCAATGTCCAGGAAAAGAAAAATAAATTTGGAAAAGATGTTTCTTAAATTGTACACTAAGATATGTTCAAACCGAAATGATCCACTACTTTACTTTCCAGAATTAATGTTAAGGACACGATCATAAATAAGGACAAAGAAAAGGACAGATATTTAAGATGATATATATTCCAAGTACACTGATTTGATCTTTACAAATTAAGTAAACATATTAGCATGTGTACCCACAAAATGTATTCTTATTATATATTAAGTATATTGTTTACAAAACAAATAAGAACAAATATTTATGTACCAGAGTACTAATTTGATTAATCAGATCAGTAATCAGAGTATTAATCACCGAGTTTTAGTATTTTTGAGGAAAAAAAAAAAATCTATGTGTTCAACAATGGGGAAAAGCCAGGTACAGTGGCTCACATTTGTAATCCTGGCACTTTGGGAGGTGGAGGTAGGAGAATTGCTTGAGGCCAGGAGTTTGAGATCAGCCTAGGCAACACAGGGAGATCTCATATCAGAAAAAAAAAGAAGCTGAACAAAAACAACAGAAAAAAATTAAATACATTGCATTGGCTCCATGAAATGAAAAGCTGTGGAATCTTTAAAGAAACGTTTTGTAACAGCTGTTTAACGACATAGAAATATGATCACATTTTGTTAGGGAAAAAGGCAGAAATAAAATGTCATATCGCTTACTATCCATTAATTTTATAATCAGGAAAAAATGTGTTCTTTTTAAACTGATTAACATTTTGTGCATGATAAACTTGGCTGACCACACTAATCTACATTCTAGATCTTGACTGCTAAGGATTGAACAGAAGAAAATAGAACAGGAAAATTTTACCACTCACCAATAAGGTTTAGACATATTTTATAGATTGTTTTCAGTCAGTCTTACATATTCCAATTTATTTTTAATAGAAAAAGAGGTGGCAGTACCATCCTTTTGGACACTGTACATGGCAGGAGACTTAAAAGCACGAACAAAGATTTAAATCCACTCTATGTTTCCATGATCTTCATCTAAAAAATAAAGGTAAGTCTGCTGAGGATGATTTCAAGGTAATCCCAGATTTTTGAGAAGGCACTCTGAAAATTAGGGAGGAAAAATGTATACTGTATATAATGATATAATGACTGAAATCAGAAAGTAATTACAGGGGCTATTTGTGGATCCTCCATAATCTAATGTAGGAAAACACAGAAAGAAAACAAGTTTGGGAGTCTGAAACCCAATTCTACTATGTGACCGTAGACATATTCCTTCGCTTCTCTTAGTATTAATTCTCTTGTCCATAAAACAAAGAAAACTACAACGGGCTAGTGTACAGTCTCAATTATATTAGCCCATCTAAAGAAAATCCCACAGCTAAGCAAAACGATCACTACACCATTACACCACTGTACCAATTTACACAAGACAGGAGCCACTTTATATCAATCATGTTGGCAAGTTCGTAAACGAACACAGGGACAAATATAGTTGGGCTGAGAACTCTTAACTTCATATAGAGAATAAAATGGGGAGAAGACAGACTTCCCTGTTACTTAAAGGGTAAACCTAAAATAAAAAGAGGTAAGGAATAAAAACAGTTAAGGGGGGAACCATCCCTCAATGGCATCTAGAGGTTGGATGACAGCTTTCAGCAGTCAGGCCCTGGTCAGCACAAAAAAGTGAGGGGAAGAAGTTCCACATGGGGCTGTTTACTTTGGATTCCTACTCATCACTGTTTATCAAGGGAGAAAATGATGGCTGCAGCAGAAACCCTAACTTGAGGGAAAGCATCAATATTATAGCATCTCTCTATGTGCGTATTAGCAGTAGTGAAACGTCCCAGGTTTTCAATGAGACTTAGTGAAACACTGCAAACCCTGGCGGGCAGATTAAACCTCTAGAATTCCACTTGCCCCAGCCCCTACATACGTTCCTCTATTCTTGACTACTTAACAAAAAATTGGACTTTTTATTTTAGAACCAAAAGGTGGTTAGGTTTTACCTCCCCCAACACTCCATGGTGGGGGCCGTTAACACAAAAGACTACTTAAAAAGGGAGCTTTTTAACTCTACTGTCCCAGACGTTGTGTTCTAACAGTATCTGTTAACGTATCCTCCCAGGATGTGCCTCTTGGCGCTTCAGAAAGTCCTCGGTTCCTCGTAACAAGAGTTTTCCTGCTAATCAGGCAAGGCAAAGATGGTGGCTGGATGTCATCACAGCCATTAAGTAGGGTGCTGGCATCCCGGATTTTGCAAATTATTCAAGAAGGAAACTCAATGACAACAGGGATGAATCAGCACAAACTCATCCCTACTAAAATATGCATGTAAGTATTCTGCTAATGGTGGATCTGGCTTTATGTGCCGCTGGTAACGGCTGTATGCTTCAAACCGAGTTTGGGGTCGTGGGTGGAGTAAGGACGTGGAACGCGGGTACTACCAGGGCTGGCGACTTCCCAGGGCTGTCGCCGACTCGCGGTGACCTTACGCGCCTTAACAAAGGAAGTCCTCAAACTTGGCACCGGGGCCTAGGAAACAAGGAACCGAACACGACGCAAGTGGAGGCCGAACACGCCTGAACTGGAGCATGTCTGCGGGCGAAGAGGTTTTCCTGCTTCCATCACGGCCGCCACGAAGCAGGCGCTTTAAGAGTTGAAAGAAGGGGACGTGGACGTCTACGACGCCCTGGGCGACTCGCATTCCTTTTAGGAGGTGAGGGAAGTAGGTACTTCCTGAAATTGCCGCCGAACTAGCAGGCCGCTACCAACGACTCGCGTCGCGGGCCGCCTTAGCCAACCGAGGAGGCCTCGCAGCACCGAGAGCGCGGGCAGAGCGCCGGGAGGTCCCGGCGTCCGGCCTCGGGCCGGAACCCCAGGGGCGAAGCTCCCGGGCCT